TTATATAACAATGCATTACCTACTGTATATGACATATATCTCTTCTAATTCGGTCTCAATGACAACGAAACATCGAGGGGCTAACGACCAAAAAATCTGTTAAATGTTGAGGGTACAGTAATCTAGTCTGTATTTTCCCGAGCCTAAAAAACTCTAGTTACTGTCGCTAGAGTCGTCTGAGGGCAATGAACATTAAAAACAACTGCGCAGGAAATGTTTACGGTATTTTATGAATCTGAATGCTGTTAGGTACAATTAAATTATATCATGAAATTTTATCAATCCGGAACTAGATGAAAGACTTGCAAATATTCGGCACGAAATTCGGTCTCTTCTGATTCTGCTGCTCCTACAATTTTTCAGTCCATCCGAGTATTAATCTAGAGGTCTTTTTACTGAAGTGCTTATCGTCTCATCGAGCCCCGTTTAATATTCTTTGGTCCAAAAATATCCGGATTATGCAGTTGCATGTCAGCCAATTATGCGATATAGATTCAGCCATGCGATGTACATTCAATAATATATGGCGTTTATGGCGGTCCATATATAATATACAATATAACAGTATCCCAACATACGGATTTACGTATTTATGAAATTGTACATGGCGTGAATTTCTCGAAATGCTCAATTAACAAATTTTTCCAAAAAAATATCAAAATATATTCGAGCGTCTGAATATGTTACATAACGAATAACTCCTGCAAAACCGAATTATTTCGACTATCCATTTTTCATAATTTCGGAAAGAGCAGCTTGAGCAAGCAACAGTTCCGTCGTGTTTAACCTCCTGCGCTGCCAAATTCAACTCGCACTATTTCATTTCGGTCGGTACAGCCACTTCGCGATAATCACGAGCGATGTTTTCTGAGCTGAAATCTGGTACTATAGAAAATTACTTCATCGTTAATGCTTTCTGAGTTTCCTCGGTTAGTTAGCTACTGCTCTTCTTGTGCTCTACATTGATATCATAATCATTAAGTCACTATGACGGATAGATACAATGAACTGCGTTAGCTGTAATAATATGTGGGATAGGTGGAATTTTTATATCGTAATATCAGTAACAATTTATAAAGTCTATCTGCTGCAGTAGTTATTGTGTTGTTCGTATCGTCACTTTGTGCGATCATAGGTAGTTTTTATCCATTCGACTGAACTATACTTTTGACGATCTCATTCTCATGTAAACCTATTAACTTCAAAACCTTTGATTTTTTTCTATAGGTTGATTTTAACTGTTGTAAATTCTGTTTTTCTATGTTTATTTTAAAAATGTGTTGATTTTTAAATTGACTCATTTGAAGGAACCGAACCAGCAATAAACTAATCTGGAATTCATTCTCTACGCGTCTGTGCCTCTATTGTGCACGTTGCAATGAACTTATCCTGAAGATCAATGGCATAAAGATTAAATTAAATTGTACTAGCGAGTGTTTCATTATCGATAGCAGAAAGTAGTGTGGCTAGCACGGTGATTTATACATGTATGTTGATAGCATATTTAAAGGAAAATGGAATGTTGCTAGTGTTGTTAGTTTTCGTTTTCTTTATTTGCATTTGACGCTACGCGTGGTCTCTGCATGGTGTCATTAACACTCCATAAAATATGCGTCACCGACTGATTCCTGACATTCATAAACTGTTCCGCAAACTCTGGAAGCAAGTTTTAGAGACAGAAATTCGTATGAGGAAGCATTTGAGAAAGGTTCAGGAAGTTTATGCGTAAAGATATTCGGTATAATATGTTCAGGAAGATATTTTTATTAAATGCATGGAAATGGCTTCGACTTATTCTATTCTTGATTTTGATGTTTGTGACATGCTGAATCGAATGACAGATTCATTTTGTGTGGTGAAAAAGTCCATTCAAACCCCCTGTTCCGTACTAACATAGTACTTGTTTTCGGAATGCATCGCTTGTAAACTGCCTCTATAGTTGCAGTCCAGTACTTATGATTCTGAATTATACATTTCTTTTTTTATCATTTTCAGTGATTAATGGCTGAACGCAGCTTTTCGCGCGCAATAACACCTCCGAATGTGATAAAGTTATCCAATGGCGTGCATGTAGAGAAAGGCTGCATCGCATTGATATATTTTGACGTAGTTCGTTACCTGGATCGATACGTTGATGATGCGGAAAAGTTACTAAGAAGAAAGGACATCAGTAATGCGGAAAGCAATGCCGATGCATCGGCTAAGGTTGTGGAATATTTGCAAAGGGAATAAAGTATTTATCAACTTTTTTCCGTGATTACACTTTTATATATCATTTGCCAGCGAAGTAATGGCTGTTAGTTTACCATAAATTTTGGCTTACTGTGAATATGATATCCTTCCTGCTTTTGCACGCCATATATGCTGCTTAGAACATTATATTTTCAAAACAGCTCCGAATGTAAAGTCAACAAACTGAAGAACAAAACTCAATTCGAGAACAAATGAACCGGTGCCTATAATGACACAGTGTTAAACCTTCAGTTAAAAGTATGGAAAAAAATTTGTGTACCTTTCGAATCTCACAACAGTTATCCTTATTTGTGCTGAAGAAGGAGCACTGTTGTGGTTTTCTAAAGCATCGCGTATTAAATATATTTTTTCCAGGAATCTAGCCGTCTTTTTAGTACTCGATAAAAACAGGTGTCTGGAACAGTATTCGAACATTTTAAGTACTAAGTAGTTCCAGTGCACGTTAGGTGTGTTCGACCATGCTTGCATCGGTGTAGAAAGACTCAATTTTATGTTAAAGCTTACTAAGCACTTTAATGTACATTTGTGCAATTTATTAAAAACTGTTTACTTACGTTATAATAAGGTTGGAGACAAAAATATGATGGATGATGAAAAATGAAATAAAATTGTCTTAACGCATAAGAATCAAGACAATATTTCTTAAAACAATGTGCTTGACTAATCCGGTTGCATCTTTAATAGCCGCAACGCAGTCAATGCCCATTTGGAACATGAGGAAAACCCTGTGATGTCATTAAGGCATGTCAGAAGATTCCACGATACCGTCAGCGGGTTTTCACAGTTGGAAATTTTTTGAGTCTGTCAGTAAAAGCTGTTAAGGCAGCATCGTACACTGAAGTCTGTTTACAGTTAAAACACGAACAGCAACTAGGAACGCCACCAATTATCAAAGAAAAACCACTCATCATGCTCTCTATAACACGCGGAAGGGACTGATATGCTGGCCTTCGCTGCACCGTGGTTGCAGTACTGTTTAAGCGAGCTACCACTGGAA